TCATTCAGTTCACCGTTGCACAGGCATTAGGATTCTCAATCTTCACTAGTCGTATCCTGGCAACGGATATATCACAGTCTCACTGTCACTTCAACTGACACATGACGGCTTCTTGGCACAGTGTAATTCCTTTCTTACCATTTCCTGCAATTGCCAGCACCGAAGACTCGACACAATTCTCTTCCGACTCCTGTTCTCTACTCCTACAGCTTCTGAAATCCCAATTCGAATCTTCTAATCTCATCTCCCTAGCTCTCAGTCAATGTCAAAGTCACATTGCGACTGATGGTTAGTCAGTCAGTAAGTCTTGGTGTCGAGTCTCATTTACTGTCTGACACTTACGGTCTTGATTTTGTGGGGCGCCCTCTTTGCTGGGCCTTGTCAGCGCAGTCTTTCTCAGTACCGAGTCCCTTGGGACTCGCGACCGTATTTTACCGTCTCAGATTTGAGAATTACCTTTTCGTCGCCTCCTACGACTCACAGGTCACGGTGGAGGTATTCAATCACGCCTCCACACGGGTTCTTGTCTTGACAAGTACTGTTGTGTTACCCAGCAACCCCTTACAGCATGGCCCACGGAGAACACAGCTGCTATTGTTGCGTGTTGGCTGGAACGTGTATACTGAGTCGTTGCCTAGCAATGGGTCGGAACGTCACAATATCATATCCAACTTGCTACTGTGTTCTATGTTACTCACGAGAAGAACAAAATTTACTGCCCATCTCTTCCATATTGTCTATGAGGCATGCGTGTCCTTAAACTAGGAGGGCTTGAAAGTGTTAACCAAGTATACAACATACACAACTTTAAACCTCTGATATGAGATTTTTTTTAATGCTAGTGGGTTGGGACTAAGTCCCTTATACTGCGGCCACTTCTGGCCTATTGTACCAGCCCCAGATGATAGGTGAGGGTGATTATGGAGCAATTGAAATGAAGATTGGCAGGGAAAACCGAAGTACTGGAAGAAAATCTGCTCCAGCGCCACTTTGTCCACCACAAATCCCACTTGACCCGATCCGGGATCGAACCCGGGCCGCCGCGGTGGGAAGCCAGCGACTAACCGCTTGAGCAATGGCGCGGCCTAGTCTGATATGAAATTGTCACAGCGCTGATATATGAAGAGTACGATGTTGTAGGTAGTATCGCCCTGTAGTTCGATCGGAGTCCGCTGATATTTCGGGGGAACTTATTGCCTCCATCTTTAGGGTCAGGCCAGCAAGAAGCAGGCGGCAGGCCCTGAGTCGCTTGGTTACAGGGGCGATAAGTTTTCCAAAATGTCGTTGACTTTTTACCGAACTACACGGCGTTACAACCCAGAAGATTGTCCTCTTCAAAGCTCTAAATATTTATCATTAATAGCTTCAACGTACCGATAAAGTTAGGAACATAATGTATATCCATTTGTGTTAATGCGTATAGTGACAGTTACACGTTTGAAATTGTCATTAAGGATTTACATTATCGTGGCAGTTATAACTGTTATCACGCATAAGGATTTCTTTCGGGAAGTGTGAAAGGAGGAATCCATTTGGGAGCCCTGGGAGTACATCGGAGTATAAAACAAAACATGAATCTTAAAGAAATAGGATATGGTGACGTGGCGGGACTCATCTGGTTGAGGGCAGGTTCAGGAGGCGAATTCTTGTGAGTGCGGTAATGGACATTCGCTTTCCATAAAAAAGCGGGGGATGTTTTGATGGCGAACCGCTAATAACTTCTGAAAAAGGATTTGATTCGGTTAGTTGTGACTGTTAAACTTATTGAAATTGGACTTAGCTTACTTGAAATCATAGAAAGTGCATTTCAGACAAAAATTGTAAAGTGATTGCTTAAGTAATATTCAGGGGACTACTCATTTCTTCATTTGGAGAGGGTTATAACAAAACTTTTTCAAATGAGAACATAGGTATCATATTAAATTGTTTAATCTCGTTTCTTCCCACGAATTTCTTGTCGATTTAAGTCCTAATATGGAAAGGGGTTATTTATTTGGTTTTCATTCGATTTATTTGCCGCAAATTGATGAGCTTCTTCAACGAAAAAGTAGCGGTTCCGGTCTAGAAAACCGAAATTAACGGCCGTGGTGATTCATTGCGCTGACCACTCGACACCCTTTATCGGCTAAAGTTGGCACTAATTTCGCCGACAGGCGGCGGTCGCTCGGTCGGTATAGTTCGCTTGCGGACTAAACCACGGTGTTAATTTTTAATTATCTGCCGTCAGTATAAGGACCTGCATATATTTTACCGCGTCTCCCCTACAGATCGATACGCTTATTTTTCGTGTTGGTAGAGCCTTTATGTAGGATTGTGTTTTCCAAATTACAATATACATCATCCAAATGTTTGTTTTGCTGTTCTGCATGCATTACTTGTCTTGATGTCCAGTTATTGCTAAAATATAAATACAGTATATCATGCCGACGCTTAACGGGCTGGACGGCCCGGGTTCGATTCTCAGCAGGGTAAGGTTATCTTCTCTACAGCGTCCAGATCTGTTCTGAGGCTCATCCAGGGGTTAAAGTCGCCGGGGCGTGAAGCTGACCCCTCACCTCCATCTAGTGCCGAGGTTAATATAGTGGAGCTATACCTCCACTTTCCCTATGTCTTCATGGCATAGTGCTTAATTAATTAAGCACGGAAAACTTTATCTTTACCTTTATGTGATGCTGGAAACCAGGTGAGAGTATGAGTTAAAGTAATGATGGAATTTAATATTTTATATGCAACTCTCTTTAGACTGCATGAAGGCATGAATTCCCCCCCCCTTTTTTTTAACTTTATCGAGGTTTTACCACATCAGGTGGTTGGGCTTTGGCTTCTGAGAGCGGCGGCCCGGTTTCAGTCCCCTTTGACTGTGAGATTCGGGTGTTCACCCTTCTTGTACATTGCTCCGTACTTAGTTTCCACCGCTTCGTGAAGTGTGCGAGGCAGCACATTATCATACCTTCGGCGCATGGCTGGTAACAGTGACGAAGCGAAGTGAAGTTTCAGTTTACCACGGAGAAAATTTATTCTAGAAAGCTGAGGATATTGATTATACATTTATATACAGGATATTTTATTGTTGGGAGAATAGATATATTTCTGTTTGAACTTCGTGTAAGCTAGCAGTTACTTCACTCATATTGACCAAAGCAAATAAAAAATAATTTATAACATGGATGGCGTTTTGGGACAGTGATACCGGGTATGTTTGGGCTGCACTTATGATATTTTGAAGATCATGTTTACAACTTCAAGCCTTGAATATCAAGACGGCAAGAATCTCCTGAACATAGAAATCGCAGCGCAGAAGTACAAGGTGCCACAAGCCGTAAACGTGATACTCGTTAGCTTTGAACCTTAACGCTAATGAAAACTAATGAACACCCGAAATCATCTACAGAGTTGATTTCACTTTGTTATAGTGTAGACCTTAATCTAAATTTCATCGTAATCGTTACTGCTGTTGTAGATATGCCATGCAGATAGAAAGAAGGACCGTCACGGACTCTCCCAGTCGCACTGGCTTTGTTAACTTCTTGCTCAGAAATCAGAGGTGAACATATGTACGTGTTCCCAGTCTAAAGCAGTTAAACTTCTTGTCGGTAGTATTAATGTGACTGCCATAAGTGTAATTATGTCCACCAAATAGGCTGATCATCTTAAAAATTGTAACTGCTTGCTGAACTCCACTGTGAAAGTCTTCCTGAAGAAGTGGGCCAAGAAGTTCTTAGTGCCTACCACTACCTACCAATCGGGGTAACAGCCCTGCGTGAGCCTTGGCCTCCTCTACAACCAGTCTCCACAATCAGTGCGCTCTGCCACAGGAATGGATCCACGCATGATGAGCCGAGGCTGGTTGTTAGGTTTCTGAACAAAATTCTTTTTACAGGATGAGATTGTTAGCATCATGCCCAACCCCCCCAACCTGGAGGACCAGGGTATCTCTCTTAGTCTGGACTCACCCTTGCACCTTTCCGGCATGGGTGACCCTCCCGGTAGTTAAACTACCACCGGCATAGCTCTCCAGTTCACAGAGTCACGCAAGCCCCACCACCACGACAAGGTGGGGACCCCTATGGGGGAAGAAGTTCTAAGTGATATACGTTAATTCATAATTTTCAAAGAAATAATTCTTTGAGACTCGTCCTGAGTCAGGTCAATCGCTTTTTTAAACTATTTGGCTAAGTGTGATTTTTAAAATACCATCCACTTACTCCCAGATCTCCTAAGTAGTTTCCTCCTTTGAGGTATTCTGGCCAGATTCAAGGCCTTTTGATGAATAGGGCCTTAAGTCCTGTCTACTCTTCAGTTCCATTCTTCGCTTCTCTGTCTCTGGTCTTGTTGCTAGGCGGCCATGTTGTTTATAGTTCATAAAGTCGCCTGTGTCCACCGCTGTTTCATTGCTTAGCATCTGTTTAATGCATAAAGAAAATAACACCTGTACGTCACTACGGCAGCGCAAGTGTTAAAAAAAGGCGTGAGGCCACATTCTTTTATTTTGTTTCTTGTAGTGAAGTAACTTCTTTTACACGTATGTATCACCTAAGGAGTTAAAGTACGCTGAGTTGTTATAGACGATTGAAGCAATGTAATTTCTTTTATCGATTTTACAGCTGCTTAATGGAACAACCGGCAGAAGTGCGGCCATTCTGTAACGTTATTGGTGAACGAGAAAATATAGACTGTTATAATAAATGATTAATTTCATTATTTCTGTGCAGTTGATTATAATGAAGATCCTGGTGTAAATATGGCGCGTCCATTTGTTGTAATCGAAATACATCATGGCCCTTGCCAGTGCTTACAGACTACAGTCCAAGATTATTCATTTCACTTTGAAGATAAGGACAGTAACGATATCCGAAACGTCGGCAATAAGCAGATTTTCGCATGGCGCCATCATCCAAGATAAGATAACATGAGCGTTTGATCACCCTGAAAGTCCGAAATCATACAAATAAAGCCTCAGGGAGTTTCCTTTTTTAACTCAGTTCTGCTTTTTGATGCAGATGATGCTACCACTGGTGATAGCGTTGGCGGTGATGCTGCCCCACCTGAGTACGCAACAGTGCTTCAGCCCAGATGACACCAAGGTGCAAAACAGTCCAAACACTCGACAGGAATTGTTCACAGGGGAGCAGGCCTTTAGCATGGCCATGCTTCGGGAAGCTGTCGCAGTCAACCCAACTGGCAACGTGTTCTTTTCGCCTTACAGTGTTTATAACGCACTTTTGCTGGCATACTTCGGCGCTGCAAATCACACTGAGCAGGCGCTGAAGGCAACTCTAAGGATTCCAGAAACTCAGGTTAGACTGTTTGTTGCGATAAGTCTAGATGCTTAATTACAAAAGGTAATATTTGGTATAATAATTGTTAACAATGAGAAGTGCCTGGGTGTCTCAGTTGAAAGATGTTTCGTGTGTCACCTATGCGGTGCAAGGGAGAAAATAAATTTAGGGAGTTTCAGAACAAAGTGCTGATGAGAATATTTAGACGCAAAGGAGAGAGGAAAAAATCGAAGGAGGCTGATAAGATGATTCAGTGTCTAGTAAACCCAATTAACAAACTCAACCCATTGCATACTCACTATTGCTTGAAAATGTTCACAAAGACAAGAAACCTATACAGGACAAAGAAACCAGTAAATAAGATATTAGCTGTTGTATTGTTTATTAGTGTTAAGGAATGAACAGGGAACAGCGTAGAATGGAGATGGTGTAAATTTAGTACAGAAAGGTAAAATAAAGGGAACATTTTCTTGTCCTTAATTATGTAATTAAGCACTGATATGAAAACATGGAGGGTAGTGGAGGTGAGTGGTCAGCTTCGCGCTGTTGCCACTTTACCTCTGGGGGTACAGCCCCTGGTGCCCACTGGCTAGGATGCTGATTGAGTACTAGTCTGGAAGCTATGGAGAAGAGACTATTCTCTTTTTCCTGCTGGGACCCCAAGCGTCACTCCTATAGGCTAGTCACTATATAAACTGAGCTAACCTGACTCTGCAGGACAGAAAGGTGCTGAATGACGCAGAAAAGATATGCTGCAACGCTAACTGGCTCTGTAAATAAAACGAGCCCTCTCCATACTTACTCTTTGGACTTCTAGGAACCTTGGCCTCGTTTATGGCAGATGCCCATTCCTCTTCCTTCTGTTTTTGCCTCTTTCTGCTAACTCTCAGCTCTCATAAATTAGACTCTGCACCTTCCAGGCATCATAATCTGGGCGTCCCACTTTTCGTCTACCTTCAGACTTGCTTTACAAAATGTTCTTAACCACACTTGTTGCAACATTGTGTCACTGTCCGAGCCATTCCAACATTCACCATTCCATATTTCAGCATCTCGTTGTATGGAGGCATCATCCTATTTTGTACTAACGTACCCGTCAATAATACAGCTTTACCAAGACATTAGGAACATGTTGTTCACTAAAAATGCATTTCAGTATTATGAGAGTTCAAATCAGTAAAATGCCCGTAAGCCTTTACGTAGTACATAAATTTACACATTAAAAAGTGAATGGCCGGTCACGGTAGCCGAGCGGGCTAAGGCATGTACTGT